CCCCCCCCCCCCCCCCCCCGTGTTGGCCCCGGGAGAGGGGAGGGGGAGAAGCGGCACCTGCGCCGCGACCACTCGGAGTCTCCCCCTCCCTCCCAGGCTCTCAAACCTGGGAGAGGAGGGGGAGATCCCGAGCGGCCGTTTCGCGCGCCGCTGCTCCCCCTCCGTCCCAGGCTTGAGACCCTGGGAGGGAGGGGGAGAAGCGGCACCTGCGCCGCGACCACTCGGAGTCTCCCCCTCCCTCCCAGGCTCTCAAACCTGGGAGGGAGGGGGAGACTCCGCTTCTCCCCCTCCCTCCCTCCCTCCTAGGCTTGAGAGCCTGGGGGGAGGAGGCAGGGCTGGGGATTTGGGGAAGGGGCGGAGTTGAGGCGGGGCCGGGGGGTGGGGTAATTAAATAAGGGGAGGGGCGCCAAAATTGTTTTTGCTTTGGGCGGCAAAAATCCTAGAGCTGGCCCTGGTTATACTGAGACAAGGGATTAGGAGGCAGAGAAGGCACTTATTCAGAAAAGCAAAGGGAAGACCAATGAGTTATGCTGCTGTGATGTTATTCCCCAAGATGGTCCCCTCAGAAGTGCTGCAGAAGCAGAAGGGAGTCGCAAACTATGTCAAGGGCAATGATCATGTTACTGTTCCACTGAATGTCTATATCAAAAATCTAGCAATTTCTCAGTCTTAGATTCTGCTTTATCTCCCTGCTGACATGAAGAAAGTGCAGAGAAAAACAGATAGGGTTCTGGACTGATGGTCTGAAACCTTAACAGTTCCCAGTCTTTTTCTATGAAATATGTAACCCTGTGAAAAGTCATTATGCCGCCTTTGTCTACTTGATTGCTGTAATGCTTAAATGGTATTTGGTGTACTTTGGCTAATTGCCTTACGATCCGTACAGCTATGCTATCCCTAACCTAATCTTCTTTCCTATATGAATTCCTATTTGCAATGCTATTACAGGGCATATATACCTCAATTGGGAGCATTAGCCTTACTACCTTTATGGGCATACAATACCTAATGAATATACCTAATGCAATACCTATGCCTACATATACTTCATATAAACTGGTCCACCATATCATACAACAGGTGTTCTAACAGGATGCAATATTCCAGTATAGATAAGATCCTACATGTACAGGACACTCTTTAAAGGGACCATTTACAGCTATGCAGATAGCAATACCCATAATGACTCAACTAAGAATTCTCTTATTTAATAAGCGTTTAATTATCCAGGGTGTAATTAGCAAACCACTAGTTTTATTTTAATATTATTAAAGCATCTCTTGACAATACATATACACGATGGGACAGAGCCTGCACTCCTTATGCAGGCAGGATTCTCATTAGACTTCTGTCTGAGTAAGAAGTACAGGAGCTGCCCAAACATGGCGAAGAAAGCCGGGACAAACTAATGCCAGAATTTTACTGCTTTTGTCTCTGGCAGTTTAAGGTAGACCTTTATAGTTTAACTATAATAAACATTTTAATAAAAAGTGATATAAATGTTATTCCTTGATACTTCAGCAGCATTAGTACTGACATTATACTGAATCATCACAAGCAGCATAGACTCTTCATAGATTGCTACCACTCCCATATGTAAAATCCTCATCCTTCCCCAACAAGTATTTACTTGATGTCACCAGAATGATTTAATTGAATCATAGATTCAAACTGCTCTGTTTATTCTCTGCATTTATGCTCTCTTTTTCTTCATTTGAATGAAGAAAGTCTGTAGTGCATGAAAAAAAAGTTCAAGGGTCTACTTCTGCATCATCTCTTTCAGCACAGTTCCTTTTACAGTTGACAGAGCTATACTGAACTACCCATCTTCACTTGCCAGCGTATAGTTCCCTCTAGTGTAATAAAGCAATAAGTAGCATGATCAAGCAATACACCGTGGAACAGGGGGTCAAAATATTTCTTTTCAATTTACCTGTGTTTTTGTGCCATCAGTAACAGGTTTAGTCATTTTCCATGACAAGAGGAAGAATTTTGACTGTTGAAATTAGTTGAATGACTGTTGAATCTCTCTGAGACAAATAAAATACACAGTGGAAAAACAATAGCAATTGCTCAGTAGTTGGGAAGAGTTAAGCACAGATGAACTAGAAGCTATTTTAATTTTATACTTTCCTACATCCTGAAAAGACTCCAAAGAGAGAGAATTTTTCCCACCTTGGGGTAAATCCCCCTTCCACATCGCTGATTTCTTCTCCACAATGTGGCTCACTAGTATATATTCTACACGTATATCTTACAGAAAACTTCTATCAGTTTAAATTCAGCAAGATGGAATGTTACCATTAGCTGTCATAGTAATAATTTATCTTAAAAAAAAATCTAACATTTTGATTTGCTGGAGATAGCTTCAAAGCATGGAGTCTTGAGAAAGCATTGCATGGGACATTAAAGAGGTGCTGTGATACAATAGAAAAATCAAATACGTTATGCTGAAAAACTATATACGCTTCAAGTGTTCTTCCATTATTCGGTTTCCATTTGTGCTTGCGCATAACAATATCTATTTTAAACAAGGGATTTCTCCCTCATGATCAATCTTCTCCTACTCTGTCCTGCAGCACATGCCAAACCTGAAAGCTAGTTCCAGGGCAAGTGACTGAAGTCAAAATAAAATGATAATTTGGTATGTGTTTTTTATATTTTCAAAGTGTTATGCAAAATTAATCCACAAAATACTCCTGTGAGGTAGGCAGGCAGGCATATATCAATCCTGTTAAGGAACCTCACAGTCAAAACTAGGAGTGGAACTCAGGAGTTCCTGACTCCCAGTCTTGAGTTTAGACCTAAAAGTCTTTTTCAAATTAGAGAGAGTTAGGGGAAGAGAAGAATGATGTTACAGTGGCTAAATCTTTCTATGTTGTGAACAAAATAATTCATAAAAGTTACAACACTGAAAAGTCTCAGTACTTCAGTACTTCAACTTGCAGTATTTTGTGCTGGTTGCCCATCCTGTCTCTCAAACAACAACAGATAGTGGTGACTTCCTATTTATTAGCTATTCATTGTTTTATTATGTGCAAGAATAAAAGTAAATGTCAGTATTAACCTTTTTAATTAAATGCAGCAATTAGAGAACATTACCTTGCAATTCACTTTTAATACCCGTCTGCATAATGGTGACTTTGCATCAGATGCATGACAAGGTCATGCAGATAAATTCATCTAGAAGCAGAAGGGAAAAAAAGTTATTGCTCCCATGAGGAAGTGTGTCATTTACAGAATTACAGGGCTCCCTAGCAGAGATAAAAATAATTGGGCTTTGTTGTTTTTAAAGCGAGATTGTAAATGCCTCACTGAAACATCTTGGAAGATGTCACCATGCCTCAGTGGGTCACAGCTGAGAATACAAAATTCAGGACAGACCGCTGAGAAATAGAGCAGACTCACCCCAAACTGGTGGTTATTCTATCGTTAGATTATACCAAGCCAGTAACAAAAGTGAACTTATGTCTCACCACACTGGTTAACAAAGAAGCCAAAAATGCAGTCTTCTTAGGCATTCCAGCCCTTGGCTCACCACACAGACACTGAACTTTATGATGAGTGGTTACTGAAAACCAATTTAATCAAATATAGGGTCCTTCTAATCCCAAGGGACCAGCCACTTAGCCAGGTCAATATATAACTCAGCTCTTATCCAATAATTATGTTGATGTCAATCCTTACTAACTAAAAACTAAAGGTTTAATAATAAAAGAAAAGAAGAGAGTTATAAATGATTAATAGATCATATAGATACAAGTGATTTTTCAGTGTTCATAGATCAGGATCATAGCAATGATGGAATAAACTGTTGGCTTGCAAAACTCTCTCCCTGGAATTACCCAAACAGGTTGGAGGTCATCAGTCCTTGTTTAGAACTTCCTTGTTAGAAATCCAGTCTAGAGAAAATGAAGACAAAAATGGATATATGTCAGGGTCCTTATATATCCTCTGCCATGTGCATGGAATTTTGCTGTCCCAACTAAACTCACAGCCCAGGTGCATGGAAAATTACTGGGCCAAGATGGAGTCCAGGGTCATATGAGAGTATCACATGCCGTTACATGCTTTGATGACTCACAGGAGGTGGCTATTGGCCCCTCGGAAACTGATGCATCAGCAGGAAGACCATACAGCTATCTGGGCGGGATGAGTTTCTTCTATGGCCCACTGGGAGAGTGAAGTGTCCTTGATGGACCATCACTACCTAGCTGTCTGGTACCAATGTAAATCCTGTCTGGTAGGTGTTACCCAGGACTATAACACATGTATCAGATATAAGTCCATGACCAATATTCATAACTTCAGATACAAAGATGATACCTGGGTTGACACATGACATACTTTGTATAAGATTTGTTGCAATTATATAACAGTGGTAATATCAATGATGTAAATGGTCATATTCAATCATACAGCATCAAGAAGAGTCTTTCAGAATTACAGAAACGTGCCAGTTACGGAGTAAAAAGGAAATGCCACCCAATTCCGGGGCGGGGCGGGAATCTTAGGGACAATTTCTCATTTACATTCTGCCTACCTACAGACAGCTGCAGTTTCCAAATGGTATTTTTCACTTCATTTATTATATTGTTATGGAGAACTGCTATGCCCAGCTGAACAACTGATCAGTTTTTCTACCATCAAAGTACAGTCACCACTGGGAAAAATTATTCCTCTGGTTATCAGCTGAAGTCTGTAAAATGCTCTGAGATCCTTCATGGTTAAAGGTGCTCTATAACTGAAATATAAATACAAAAAAGCACTTTCTTTAGCACAGGAAACTATCTTTGGGTTTTGTGCAATATTGTGCACACTCTCAACATGTAATAAATAATAATAAAAGAACATTCTCTTTTGCAGTTGCAGGGAAGAAGAATCCTGCCTGTACAACAGGGTCACTACACAGAACACGGGGTGCTATTAAAAAGGTGAACTACAAAGGGAGAAGGGTCCATAAACTTTTATGCTGCTTTGTGAGATATGAAGGAGACCTGAAAGGATTTTTTTTCACTTTCTTAAAGACTAAAAATTCAGGTTGTGTCTATCTGGAAACTCTGTTTATGACTACTGAAGTGATTATGAAAGTACAAGGAAAAAAATTGAAAACGGAGCAACTGAGGGTGAAAGATTTTTCCTCCAGCAGTTTAAGATGTTTTAACTCCTATTTAACGCCAAGGTTTAACAGGGAAAGCCCATCTGTAAAGATCCCACCACCCCAGCCCCCAAGGAAGAGACACAAAAGCTCATACAGCATTTTTATACTGCTTTATACAGCATTTTTCATCCACAAGTGTTTAACAAAAGGTGCCTAAGCATCAGCTCCACTTTTCAGCAGGGAAGATTTAAGCACATAAAATTTAATAATTTGTCCCAAATCACACAGCTCTAACACGTGCAGAGTCAGGAAAAGAAACAGCCAGCCCGCCTGCGTGCCAGCCTGGTACCTTAGCCAGTAGGCCACCGCCTGTCCACAGTGCGGCACCGGAAACCTCAAGGGTTCTCCAGCAAACCCAGGGGAGCCAGACTTGATATTTCTAGGGGTGTCAAGGCTGTATCCCCACTTTGAACTTTAGGGTACAAATGTGGGGGCCTGCATGAAGACTTCTAAGCTTAACTACCAGCTTAGTTCTGGTCCGCTGCCACCATCCCAAAGCTAATTCCCTTCCCTGGGTAGCCTTGAGAGACCTTCACCAATTCCCTGGTGAATACAGATCCAAACCCCTTGGATCTAAAACAAGGAAAAATCAATCAGGTTCTTAAAAAGAAGGCTTTTAATTAAAGAAAAAAAGGTAAAAATCATCTCTGTAAAAAATACAGGGTAATCAAACTTAAAGAGCTCAGAGAACCTCCCTCTAGCCTCAGGTTCAAAGCATAGCAAACAAAGATAAACACTTTAGTAAAAGGTACATTTACAAGTTGAGAAAAAGTAAAACTAAGACGCCTTGCCTGGCTATTTACTTACAAGTTTGAAATAGGAGAGACTTGTTTAGAAAGATGGGGAGAACCTGGATTGATGTCTGGTCCCTCCCAGTCCCAAGAGCGAACGAACTAACAAACAAAGAGCACAAACAAAAGCCTTCCCCCTCCCCCCCAAGATTTGAAAGTATTTTGTTCCCTTATTGGTCCTTTGGGTTAGATGCAAGCCAGGTTACCTGAGCTTCTTAACCCTTTACAGGGGAAAGGATTTTGGAGTCTCTGGCCAGAAGGGATTTTATAGTACTGTACACAGGACAGCTGTTACACCCTTCCCTTTATAGTTATGACAAGGGGTAAAACAGAAGAGGAAAGAATCCCCCTCCCCACACACCAATCTTATAAGCAGGGCTGGCTCTGGCTTTTTTGCCGCCCTAGGCAAAAAAGCCACCCGCTCCCCCCCAGCATGGCAGGGGAGGGCGCCAAGCCCGGCCGCGGGCCCACAATCCCCGACCGGCCAGAGCGCCGGGAGGAGAGCGGAGAGCCCGGGCTGGGGCTTTCCGCTCTCCCCGACGGCCAGAGCGCTGGGGGGAGGGCGGCGAGCCCGCCACGGCTCTCCGCTCTCCCCGACCGGCCGGAGCCCCCGGGGGAGGGTGGCGAGCCCAGCCAGGGCCCCGCCGCGCCGCCCCAAGCACATGCTTGGTGGGCTGGTGCCTGGAGCCGGCCCTGCTCATAAGCCCTTTCCAGCCTTTATTATACACGGCAGGGGCTGGAGGCGGGGACGTGAGAGCAGCACACAAGCCCATTTGTCCCCCTTTTGACAGGTCACCAGAACACAGCACCAGGCAGCACGTGACCGACGGACTTTCACCACAGACATCAGCCCCTTCACTGCTGCCCACTTACTCCAGAGCAGGTGCGGTCAGGTGCACTTCAGGAGTCTCGTCTCCTCCCCGCACCTGGACCTCCTCCCCCCCCGCCGCCATCGACACCCCCCGCCCCTCCCCGGGCCTCCATCCGGTTGTGCCGGGAGCTCCGACGGGCGCGCTCCCCCCGGCGCCCGGCAGGGGTCGCTGCCGCAGGAGGCCCGCAGGCCGGCCGGGGCGGGGGAGACGGAGCCGCGCCAGGCCCAGAGACGCCGCCGGAGCCGGGCCATGGAGGAGTTTCACCCCCACAACGACGAGGTGGGGCGCGCTGCGGGGGGTCGCTGCGGCTCGGGCTCGCGCCCAGCCCCGGGGCTGGCTTTGAGCGAGCGGCCTCGGGGGCTGGGCCCCGGGGAATCAAACCGCCGGCCGGCCGGAGCCCCGGGGAAGGGGAGTCGGGTCCCAGCTCGCTGGAGTGTCCGTGTCCCGCAGCGCGGAGCCCGCGCGGCCCGGGGGTGGCACCGAGTTGTGTATCCCGCGGGGTCCGCCGCCTTGCGGGGTGTCTGTGTCAGGCAGGTGCTGGCCCCGTGTGACAGTGGCTGGGTGCAGGGCGCTGCCGCAGGGCCCGGGTCCAGAAGGCCCCCTTCCCTCCTGGGCTGCGGCTGGGAAGAGAGTCACGCTGGGGACCAGGCTGGTGGGGTCTGGCAGAGATGGGAGTTGCAGGTAGCCAGATCTGTACCAGCAGCTGCTTCTTGCAACGTCCTTGATAGGGAGTAGGCAGTGGTTTGAAACAGAGCTACATACCACTATTGCACCAGAAGACATAAGCTCAGTTGCTGGGGCGAAGATATGAAAAAATCATCTGCAAGAAGGCTTCAGCATCGCTGTGGAGAAGGGATGTGGAGGTAGGGGGGGGCAAACAAATGTAGAAGTTTCAGTTTATTAAGTTCACTCTGAATAAATCTACACCTTTTTTTTTCCTCCCTGTCTTCCTGTGTAAAAAGAGAATATATTCTTAGGACAATTCTTGAGCTTTGAAAGAGTGCAGAGAAGTTGAGAATGGCAAAATGGCTTTAGAGGGAGTGATTTGATTTAGGGCTAATTCCTGCAACTGGATCTGCTTGCACAGCTTTCTGCACCATGCGCAAAGCCCCATTGATATCAGTATCGGGTCCACCTGCACAACACCAGTCACAGGATGTGGCCTTTCAAGGATTAAGGGACAATCTTCCTAGAGCACAGTGTTCATATTTCAAAAATAACCTTTGAAAATCCTACTGGTTTAGTTATCTATTGATATTTGTGACCGGTTGATAACCCCAAAGCATAAATCAGTTTGTTTGTTTTTTACAAGAAATGCAAAAAACTTCTGGGCCCACTCTAAGAACAGTAAAGTGAATGACGAGATCTTATTTATTTCATTTTGCCATGCTGTTCCCAGCCAGAGTAGAAGAATTAAACTAACCAGATTTAATCTATTCAACCCTGCCTCTCTACTTCTAGGAACCACTAGAGCATAACAAAAATGATGAGAATTAGTACTTTCTCAATTTAACTGGGTCTGGTGCTTGATCTATGCCTTTTCTAGTTGGGGTAAGGAAAACTATCCCAAGTATTTTTCTCCCCAGAATAATGTGAAATGCTATAAGTAACTGATTATACTTCTAACTTTTTAAATTATAGATGACCTTCAATGCTGAGGAAGCCCACAACATTGTTAAGGAGGTAGGCTATGTTTAACAATTTTAGTGACTTGAATGAAATACAATATTTAGAAAAAGCTGCATATCACTTTCAGTGATACTTTCATGCTTTTAGCATACATGCATGTTTATTTATTAAATATAATTTTGGAATTAGTTTTGAAGACAGATTTTTAATGCCTTTTTATACAAGGAAAAGTAGGCTATGATGAATAGTCTGTAATAGAATTTGTTAAATGCAACACCATGGCAACCTGCAACTGAATAGTGCAGAGCCTATTGCTTACAGGTCCTGTGGAGTTCTGAAGGAGACAGTGTATTAAAAGGAGATTCCCTGAAGGACTTTGCAGACTCTGCAAGTCCCTCTCTGCATGTCCTCTTAAACTTCACATTTCAAAAACTGTTCCAGTATGCACAGCAAGCACAAAAACAATGTCAGATAAACAGTTCAGCTCTTTACACAACTAGCCTTTCAAGGTAAGGACAAATACTGTGCACTTTTTTTTGCGCATCTGATACAGGGAATTAAGCCAAGTATTCATGCCCCATTTCAAAAGTTAAGTAAAGCTACCATACTGTTGTCTAGCATTAATGCAGCTCTAGAAAGACTAGAAACCTTGAGAAGATTTCTTTTGAAAAAACATTCATAAAACGGTATAAAGTAATAAATGGAAGCCAACAGCCCTGTCTTACTTCCTGTAAGTGTCACAATGTATAAAGGTTGATTAAAACTAGCTGAGGGGTTTGATCCTGCCCATCCTCAGGGCATAGGCCTCCTAAATAACTTAGTTGGGAGTTGAGTGTATGGGGTTTACATCACTGAATCTAAAAAGTGTACACAATCTCATTTAATTATGTAGACTTTTTCAGATGTTAATTTCTTTACAATTTAAGATTGGTCAATATTATATTTAGTCTCAGCATGTGAATTCACATGACTGGATTCCTTTATGATAGAGGCTGCAATTTAATAAGAATTAGAAGGGATTAAATTTACAGAGAATGCTTTCAGTTTTTCACCATTTTAAGTTTACACCGTTGGGTTAAACCAATGTGTATTGTTTCCATTAGATATGTTCCTTTACTGAAAGGTGTTTTTTTTTTTTATGTTCCAGTAGCACTTAGGAACCCATACTGTACTTCAAAACACAAGCAGTGACACCTCAGCATTCCAGGCAGCCACAGGTTATCAATAAGAGGAATGGGAAATTTTAGTTCCTTCACTGTAAATAAACTCAAATGTTCACTTGACAGAATTGTTAGAACATATTCAATGGCAAAAAATCCCATTAAGATTGCTGGGTGGTACAGTATGTGATCCTGTTGCAGAATGTTGAGTTGAGCAAAACTCCAACTGTATTTCCCCGTTTTCAGAAGAGTTAAAGTTGCCCACCTAAGCATTAGACCTTAACACTGCCTTCTTTCAGCAGTGCCCCAATATACCTGGATAACAGACTTACCTTTACTCTGCCAACCCCACAGTTGCTGAAATACACATTCTTCACGTGCTTTCACAACTCATTCATTCTCACCCAAAAAGCTCCATCTAACTCTATTAAAGGACAAAGAAAAAAATGATTGCACACGCCACCTTCCCTATGTTCCCCTGGAGCTGGCAGTAGCCAATGGGAGTTATTTGTAAACACTCCAGGTGCAGTCAGTATGTTATGTGTATCTGTGCTAAATGGTGAAGACACTCGTTGGGCCTGTTTCGTAAAGGTATATTCGGGATATGAGCATGTCTGGATTATTTTGAAGTGCGTAGTAAAGCATTGATTGTGATTTGAGGAGATCTTTGTTTTGCACCCTTTGTGCATGAGCAAAGGGAAGAGCTGCATGTATACCTGCAGGATACTGTATGCGTTATTTCAGTGCAAAATTGCACGTTATATACTTTGCAGGGCAAAGGGGTTTTATTTCAAAGGGGAATTGACTAAGCGTATGAGTGTAGGCCACGATCTGGAACCTCCTGAATCTTAATAGTGCCAAAGGCCAGTGTGAGTATTAGGGATGTAAAAGTTTAACCAGTTGACTGATGCGTATCAGTCTTATTGGTTTCGGTTAATGATTAAACTCCGTTCCCCGTCCAGGACTCCAGCCGGTGGCCGGGCCCCACGTAAAACATGGGGCTGCTGTAGCACCCC